GGGAGTAGAGTAGCTGGCCCATTGTTTTTGAAGACGTAAGAAGTTTGGACGGCACTCTTCACATGCGCTTACAGGCAATCCCATCTAGAACTGGTGACTTCTTTATCAACGAATCTTTTCTTTTGGCTTTATAAGACATTAGCCAGACGTGCAGACCACGAATTTTTCGACAATGGGACTCTAACTGTTTCCGAACGTATAACGAAATGTCTAAACTAACTGGGACTAATAGAGATGAGGCAAAACAAGAGAATAGTAGAAATTCAATCCACCAACCCCTGGTGGGGAGGTTGGTGGAACGGCTAGTTCGCATGGTTAAAGAACTTTTAAGACGTTCTTTGGGAAAATCGTTTTATTATGAAGAACTGGAAACCTTAATTTGCGACTGTGAGTCGGTAATTAATTCTCGACTTTAACATATATTTCGGAGAACTCTGAAGATGCTATCCCTTTAACTCCGTCAATGTTTTTTTGAAATTGTACTTCGAATGTAGCATACAGATAAAATTGACTCTCAGCATTTTTGAGATTAAATACCGCACAAAACTTCTTAATTTAAGGAACCGTTTCCGAAAAGAATATTTGGGGCAATTAATAATGAAACAACCACAAAATAAGTAACCCGGTTGCCTAAAATTGGGGAGATAGTCTTAATAGGCGATATTTCAAAAAACGCTTGTATTGGCCTTTGGTAAAATTATAGAGAAAATTCCTGGCCGGATGGCAAAATTCGAACATTTAAACTAAAAACTCAGAATGGGGTTTCATAAGGCCCGTTCAGCGTTTTATCCACTAGAGATACAACTAGATGAAAATTATTTAGTTGAAGAGCCTAACGTTAACGACGATAATAAAAACGATCAGACTGACATAGAACATATAAAACAAAAATTTACGTCATCAGGACGGCTTGTTAAGAAGCCAAATTTACTAGACCTTTTTAATAGGATAACATATGTTTTGAGTCGTTTGCCACTGACTCAAAAAAGGGGGAGGATGTTGCATAATCTATAAAATATTGTTAAGAATTTTATTATTACTATTTTTATTATTACTGTTTATTTTTCAAAAATGTGTTTTTGTTTTATTATTGTGTGAAGTTTGTAACTATATTTCTTTCTTGTGTGGCAACAACGCTTCTGTATTCTTCAATTTGAACTTTTGGATGTGTGCAAAGTTTGATGCGTAATGCTCTGTGAGAGCGTCGATTGATTGTGTTAGATGAAACATGTTGTTTCAGAACGTTATTTCTTTAAAATATGTAAAATAAAAGTTTTGTTTTCTGAACTCGGATTATGCAAACGTTATTTAGTCTCAACACCTCCCTTACAATATCAAATTAAAAGTTAAAGAGAAAAACTGACTTAGGAAGATTGTACAGAGAACTCAAAATCCGCAAGATAGAAGAAATTTTAAGAAATGCGATAAAGAACTTAGGCTTATGATCCTTAAATATCGCTCAGAGGCATGGGATAATTTCGTAGACAGCCTGTCCCACACAGATTCTACTGTTTGGAGAATAAGTAAAGCGCTCCGGATGGATGGGAACAGCATTGGCCCAACTAAGCACAAAAACTAGGCTTTTCATAAAGCTGATTCGGACTTGCTAAATTGCTATTTTTTTATGCTTCAGATATGCTAAATTGCTATTTGCCTAAGTTATGCCACTGTTACATACTGCCATATTGATAGTGGATGTCATTCAGCACAATCACGTGCACAGGTTTATTCCAACTTTTGGATTTTTTTTTTTTTTTTTCACTTCCAGGATACCTACAAAAACATATATAGATAGGAAAAAAAGACTTCAGGGTCGCACACCTATTAAATAAACGATGACCTATGACCTACATGGACTCACAGTCATTCATTTCCTCACCTGATGTGCTCGAAGAAGTGTCTACCTTATGACTGCCGGAATACAGTTGGCACTGCAGCCAGCTATTCGCGACTCACAGAAGTACTTGGAACTCCATGGAGTAAAAAACCTTTTTATCTCCAGTGCGCGAAACTGTGTATCGGAAATTCTAAAGATATGCTCATTTTAAAATTATTTTGCGACATTGCTGTTGAACTAAATTTTATGGTTTAAGTTCAAAGAATACAATATTTAATAAATAAGGGTAACACACAAAACTTTACAAAAACGCACCTTTGGACGTAATTTAAAATCTTAAACCTTTCAGATCTTTTACCTTTTTTATTCCCCTTTTAATTTTATCAACCTTAACCTTAGCCTAACATTAAGATGTGAGTGTTAAATATATGATTTAAAAGTTACTGAACATGCTGTCTGCAGTTTGTTGAAACAGAAATAAAATAAATGGTTGGTTGTTCATTACAATGGTTGATTTTTCTACTGTACAAAATTTAAACCATTTTCCATTTTACAATAGAAAATTTTCTTACCACTTAATACTTGAACTAATTTTTTTTTTTTTTTTTTAAGATTTTATTGAATGGGTATTTTAATTGGTTACTTAAATGAGTGTTTATGAAAATGTTTCCTTTTCTTTACAGATAAAACACGTTTTTATATTTAAAGCTAGTTTATTAATGGTATTTCTGTTGTGAAAATTAAGTCCAATAACAAAAACTATTCTAATTTTTTTTAAACTTAATTTTTTGCTACTTATTTTGTGATTAATTTCTGATTTTTATTAGTATAACGTTATTAAAAAACTGGTACACATAACACATCTTTATACCAGTATTTTTTGTTTACAGACTCCAAAAATCTTGAGTTGGATAAATCCATTTTGCACATTCATAATCAAGTTACCTTTTCCAAACTGACCAAAATTATTTAAGACCATGGGCAGTCATCTTAAGAAAAGGTTCACTGTATATTATAGAAAAGAACTTTTAGATCTAGTTTTTGAGTGATGAGAATATAAATAGATTTAAAAAATTAATTTTTTAAATAATAGATAAAATAGCTAATAGATAAAAATATTCCATATGAAGAAAAATTCTGTGTTCTGTTCCACATTACAGTGTAACAAATAATGCACTAAAATTTCGTATATACGCAAGATAATATGTATTAAAATGTCATCCACTTTAATGGAAAACTTAATTTATTATAACAATACCCACAATTTAGAACTCAGTTTATAAATGTATGGATATGAAAAAAATGAATATAATTTTTATCTGTACTTATTTAGTTACATAGTAATTCTTGATATTATCGGTTTGTATCTGTAAATAATTTTGGAAATGTTACTACAGACCAGTATATGTTAAATTTTTACAAAACGTTTAGAGTTTCACAAACGTTAAGAGTAAATTCTAGGCCACAAAATTTCACAATCTGTCTCACGAATTTGCTACATAAGCAGCAGGTGTGAAGGATGTGCATTACTCAAAAACGAGGAGAGTAGTACCGGGCAACATTCAACTGCAGAGAATTCTCTGATTATCCAAGATTGTGAAAACAGCAAGATTCGTGTCTTCAGTTATCCAAGACAAGTGAAAATTATAGTTCATTGCTTAGTATAATATAGGTCCAATGAAATATATCACAAGTTTTGTAGATATGACACCACAGTGAGCTGCTTTCAATGCCATGTAATTGACTGTTAGATGTTGCAATGGATGTTGAGAACAGAATTTAGTCACCTTGTAACAGTAGTTTATGACACTAGACAAAACATTTTGATAAACAGTTCTGACAGGCAGACAGTGAAACTAGTTAAGCATTTGAATCAGCTTTCATTATTACCCACTCCTCCAAAGAAATACCTGCCCTATCCTCATGGCCCCTATCAGCCTTTTTGAAATTGCTAGCAATGTCATTCATTACTTGACAGTTTCACTGTACCAATCTTGGTGCCAAGCAATTTACCATCCCACTTTTCTGAGACCAATGATGTGATATCTTCCATATTCACCAAATTAACTGTATTACTGTCACTAATCTCAATTGCTAAAGCAAACACAACCACTTAAGCAATTTAAATTGACACTGCAGTCGTACTTACATTCATTTGTAATATATCTTACACATTTTCTGTGCTTTAAACTCGTTCTGTTCATACATTAGCTGCAATTTTTTATCATTTGCATGTTAAGTTTTGTTATCATCAGAAAGATATTTCTATGTGCACATATTATTATGACACAAAGTACACAAAAAGAGTATTTAAAAAAGATTATAAAATTCTCAAGATCTACATAAGATCTTTTTCAACTCTGTAAATAGAATAGTTTAGTACACATAAAAATTTTATTTTTTATATAGTTGATGCAGAACAAAAAGCCCATGTAGTAAACTATTTATCATGTTTTAGTAAGGTACATTCAAGAAGTTCTGCCTTTACATGCAAATTAGATGGAGCTATTACAGAATACATTTAATGTTTTATATCATTTTTCAGCAAATATTTTGGACTAATATTTGTTAAATTCAAATTTGACTATTATTACATATTTCTTTAAATTTAACAAACAAAATTTATGTATTTTATTTATTAGTAATTCCTTATTGGCTACACAACACTAGCTAAACTCTGCAGCTGGTTTCAAGAAAATATTAATTCCAAATACCTCTGCGAATTTTGAACAGCACATTTTGCATTTCATTCTTTACTACAAAATAAATGTTTTATTTGATTGCTCTATTTGTACTTATAAAAAATTAAATTTTATATTTACAAAACCATTCTATCCCCAGTGCTGAAAAAAACTCTCATACAATTCTTCACCTTAGTCTAAGAAATTTTAGAAATACATATCTAGGAGAAACTTTAGAAATACATGTCTGTGAGCAATATGTAAGTGAATAAGTTTGTATTTGTGTTTTTTAACATTCTATATGTCAATCAAATATATTTTAACAAATAATAAATATGCTGTAATATAATTCTTAAAATGAGGTTATTAGAACTCATGCATAAAAAATAACACATTTCACACTTAACCTCCTAACCTAAACTCATCCTTTTAATGTGAACACAAAAATTAAGAGAGTTATGCATAAATAATGAAATAGCTAAGGCAATTGATAAAACATTTTATTTTTGAAATACTGAATGAGATCATGATTTATAATTTAACATATGACAGTATGTGTTTAAGAATACACAGCATTTTTGAAAATCAATAAATTAAGTATTATACAGCTACAGTAGATTTCAAATCTTTGTTTACAACATAAAATCTATGTTTCTTTCCAAAACATCCCCAGATGACAGCAATGTTTTCGATAACAATATTTATAGGCACAGTGCAAAGTGCTCCAATTAAGCAGAGGCAAAATTTTAAAAGGCCTAAACGATACAAACTGAATGATTTGATTACGCCAAATATGTACATATATATATTCATTGCACCAACAAAAGCACAAAGGAAATTTATAATCTGCCAGCAAGGTATTGGAAAAAGTCCTGCAAGTATTATATTTGATGTGCTAAGTGGTATAGTCGCCCACGAATACAGAGCACAAGCTAAAAATACTTTGTTTCGAAAAGGAATTGCTGAACTGTGAACAACGAGGAAAATTCCTTGCAGCCACCTTTTTCTTTGTTGTAAGAAGTCCCATAATGTAAATGGACTTTTTTCCCACATTTCTCCTTCAATAAAATTAAAAGTATATCCTTCTTTGTATGCAACCATACTAAAAAAACAATCTTCTGCAACAGAACCATCAAGTCCATGATCAAAAGAAACTTTTCGTTCAGCACCAGCTTGAGTGACTACGTAAGATCCTTTCCAACTGAATAACGGTCTGTGAAATATTTGAAACTGAAATCGAAGTTTGCCCATGTCATCGGCAACTCGAAAACTATCTGCAAGTGTTGTCATCCAATTCACAACATTTTCATTTGCATATGTTATCATACCTTGACCAAATTGGTATTTTCCATCCAAAACAAAATTTATTATACCTTTGAGAGAATTTTCGGTGATAATTGTTTCTTCATCTAAATGTACAATCCAATCAGAATCACTCAAAACATTTACATCATCTTCAAGGCAGTACTGTAATGCTCTAGCTTTGAAAAGTGCCCCAGTTTTAGTTCTATAAGTAGAAGGAACTACAATTTCTCGAATTCGAGGATGCCTTGGCAGGTTTAAGGTCTTATCTGTAACAACTTCAAATAAAAAATTTTCTAGACCCACATCTAAGCATGTATTCATATTGCGGTTCACATTATTTTTTACAAGCTCAGGATAATCACCCCGAGTAACAACTCTAATTGATATGAAAGGTGCTAGCAATGGAGAACCTTTTAGTTGAACTTTTTCTGGAAAAGCATTGAAGAAGAGTAGTCCAAGGCAATTGCAAACACACTGTGGTAAAGCAAGAAATGTTAGGAAACGTAATAAATATAAAAAAATGGCAGGAATATAACCATATTTCTCAAATGGATTGGTATTATCAGTATCACAGGACCCAATACATATCCCACCAGCAATAATTTCAAAAACTAAAAGGAGGATAAAAAATAATACACAATGGAGGGCATGTTTCACATTACTGCTGAGAATGATGGTGTTTAAAGCATCACCTGAAAAATAATAATGCATTGTAAGATAAACTTACATAACATGAAGAATATGCAGTAATACACATAGTACGAAATATACAAATATTTACATTAAAAAAATTATAAAAAATGAATAAAGTTCTCATACTTATAACTGCTAATATTCCTAAAGTTACAAACACATCATATTATAAGAGACTATTGTAAACCTTTCTGAAAGTAACATTTAGATTATTTTCTGAAGAGTTTCTTATCCAAGCCTGTAAATTAATCTTTCTGGTACACCAATAAAATGTTATATATACACATCAATTATGGCTTGCATTCATATAATGATATATTCTACTATTTCTACTCGAATCTTTATATAAAACATCATATCTAGATCAATTAAAAATTGTCAATGAGGAACTACTTTGAAGAATAAGAGAGGGTACAGTAGACTCCCAATTAACTGGAGACAATGTTCATGGCCAACCCTAAATCATGTCTAATCTGATAGCAGTTAAAAAAAAAAAAAAGATGGGGGAAGAGGAGGAGAATAACCCAGATTACAATTCACAGAAAATACTACAAATGTACAAAATGACACTACGAACTCGTACACATGCAATAACTTTCGGTGTCAGGAGTGGGGTTGAACACCAGTGACAAGAGCGATAGAGAAGCAATTAAAACAGCTGGTAGTAGCCTTTGCTGCATTCAAAGAAGAGATGAAAGTTTGTCAAGAATTTGTTAAACAAGAGATTAGAGGGGGCCAAGAATCTGTTAAACAAGAAATGGAAGCTGTTCAAGGAAATATGGAAGCTGACGATCAATCCATTGTAATAGAGATGAAAGCTGTTCAAACATGAAATGGCTAAGAATCTATTTAAAAAAGAGATGAAAATTGTTGATGCTGGCCAAGAATAAGAATGCATTACAGAAGAGATAAAAGCCGTTCAAGAAAGATTGAAGGTCAAAAGGAAATGAAAAGAGAAATTACTTGATTAGTAGAAAACAAATTTGAGGCTGTGAAAGGTAGAATAGATGCGGCAGAAAATAAGTTGAAGAATTTGAAGAAACAGTTTCTTCTGTCAAAGAACAAATAGAAGAGAGACTTTCTGCATAGAACTACAAATCGATTACAAAATTTATGCTATCAACAAAGAAGTTGACACCTTAAAAAATTTATATAGACATCAAGAACCAATTCTGGTTGTTTTAGATTTTTCCCCCAACAACGACACTGGAAACAAATTAATGCTCATCTTGCGAAGCGAAAGTTGCCAGATAATGACAAGCCTCATTTTAAAGCACTTCAGATTTCTGCAAAAAGTGGCAGCAGCAACTGGGGACTTCATCATGGGACATAGGAGTTCTTTGCATACATGTCCATCCATACAGGAACCATTATCCAAAAAGACCTGGCCCAGCTACTGGAAGGCAACTCATTGCCTGGATTACTACTACTGGATTGCATTCTGCGTTATCCTCAAGACTGTGTCAGGGCATAAAATCTACATCGATAAAAAAATTAAATGTAAACATCACATTTGGAAGTACCACCTACCATCACATGGTATATATAGCAAATACTACAAACCTTTGCAAACTCAGATTAGACTTTCTAAGAAAATACAGTATTTCCTTGGACTTTAAAAATAACAAACTGCATTCTGCCTCTGAGGACATAACCCTATTCAGAACTAATGATGAAGTAAAATCTGCCTACCAAATCATCGGTCAAGATGATATCACAGTGCCACCAAAAACAGAATTTTTACTTCCTGGATCCATAGCCGAAAACAGAAATTTCCGATGCGAGATCATGGAATACATCCCAGGAACAGTAACACCCCATAAGGAATACTAGTAGTTTCAGCACTCATCGACATATCGAGAATCATCATCATGCTGAGAGTTGCAATGCCAGTAATAAAGCAAAAACCGTTAGGAAAGGCAAAGTGGTTGCAGCATGTGCTCCAGTGATCTGCGTTAAATGAAAGAATAACCCTCTGGAATCCGTGTCTTCAGAAAGATTAACACCAGAATTATAGCAGAAAGCATAACTAAGTAATGAACAGAAGAGTGCCGCTCAATGGGTCATTCAAGAAGTTTTCTCTCGTTTATCTTCTGACATAGGCCAAACCAGTTTGACACTGCATAGAATTAATACACCGGATCATCCACCAATCAAGCAACATTCAAAATGTCTCTCGACTGCTAAACAAAAAGAGGTAGGAAAACTTCTAAAGGATATGCAAAATAGCAAAGTTAATGAGACTTCAGCAAGTCCATTGGCATATCCCATCATCCTGGTCAGAAAGAAAGACTCTTCAACTAGATTCTGTGTTGAGTATCGCTGGTTGAATAAGGTTATGAAGAAAAACAGCTACCCTCTTCTTAGAATTGACGATATTCTGGACATCCTTTAAGGGAGCAAGTGATTTTTGATATTTGATGCATAGAGTGGATATTGGAATGTAAAAATACATCTTGATGACGATGAAAAGATGGCTTTTACTACTCAATGACAATTTTGACAGCTCAAGGTAATGTCATTCAGATAATGTAATGCACTGGCAACATTCAAACGCTTCATGGAGACCATGTTGCAAGGTCTTTCCTACGAAGCCTGTCTAATATACTTGGATGACATCATCATCACCATCAGGAATAATTTTGAAGAACATTTAGAAAATCTTACAAAGGTTCTTCAATGCTCTGTCTAGAAGACCCTGCACAGAAAGCTGTGAATATTGTTCCAGGGTTGAAGCAAAATTTGAGCTGCTTACTCCAGTCGCATGACAAGATAAAACTTCAACATCAGTTGATCGTGACCAAAATCCCTCGTGCGAAATTCTGCTTCACTTCTAAACATGGCTGGAGATCTTGGATGTACTCATCAGCTGATGAAGCCGCTTCAGGAGAGCGACAAAACAAGAGATCACAAGGTAAATTAAGGTCATGACCAATGAGCATTTAGGATGGGAAATAGTCAGTAGTCTCCTGGAAAGCACTGTGATTAGGCCATTAAGAACAGTGATAACTTCTGGTCCCAGTCCTGTTGGTTTCTGGAAACCATCAACGAGAGGTCATTAAAGGATGGTTCAATTAAACCTCTCTCCCATACCATCTGATTGAGAACATAAAGGTGTTGTTTGGTTCCTGTTGATGTCCAGTAGTTTGCCAAGTTTTTTAACTACAGTCAATATAAAATTTTTTCTTTGACTGGAATGTAACAGAAGAAGCACTCTGAACCTGGAAATCCAATGCTGTATCATTACCTCTGCTACCATGACAGCCTCTTGAACAGGAGTAAGATACACTTCAGGCAACTTGGTGAAGTAATCAATGACAATGAGGATGTATTTATCAGGATGCATGAGTTCATGACAGAGGTCCCAGAATGTCAAAGGTGATATATTCAAAAGGCAGTTCTACAATGTAATATTGCAGTATCTCTCAGCTTCATTTCTTTCTGATATGCAGAGGCATTGCAAGACTGGCATTACTTTTACGCATTATCCTCTTGCATTACTCTATTGAACTCAATGCAAAGTCTTCATTATTCCAAAGTGGAATCCTGATGGATTGCAATGCAATTCTTCAAGTGCGTCCCGGATCTTGGAAGAGAGCTGCCATCAGAATGCCTTTCCATCATCGAATTCAAATTTATGGGCCAATATGCCGTTTCATATAATGGAACGAGTCCCAAAGTTTTGTCACAAGACCCAATATTGTTTTTGTAATGGGAATGGTTTAATGTCACTGTCTTCCCTGACTTCATCACACCATGGTCTCGATCAGCCGATGTTGAAGTTGCAACTTGTCATGCAACTAGATTAAGTAGCTCGTATGAAGGTCACTATGAATTTTTTTAGACATGCACAGATGATAAGAAGTAGAAAAAATTAACTCTCAGATTTGAAAATATGAAATATTTTAGCCTAGCAGACAACTTTTTATTGTCCAACTGCAAGTAGTTGGTCCATTAGTGTAAAAATAAATTTTAGGCAGAAGATAAAAATGGAACTGACATGAGAACATTATGGTACTATGATTTTAATGTGGGATCAAATCATGAAGAATGAGATCAACATCTACAATTTAGCATTTGGAAATGAAGGTCCATCTCATGCTACTACTGTATTCAGATGGTTCACAGAATTTTAGAAGTCACAACTCTCTTCTGAATGAAGAACACCTATGAAGGTCATTGTCAGCAGTCTGCCATACGGAAAATGTTAACCACTGATAATCACTGCATCTACCAAATGATATACACACATTTCTGAATCCAGTCCTAATAACAGAACAGTACAATTCATTTTATACTTTATATTTCGAATGAAAAGTGAACTGAATTATATAAAAGAGAATTTGGAGGTATTTTGAAGCCAACACATACAGACAGTGCTTCTATGCTGGAGAAAATTAATTATTTTTACAAAAAGTTTAATCTAGACATTAAAAAAATGGTTATGTTTATATCGGATGGAGCAAGTGTTATGCTAGGAGGAAAAAATGAAGTAGCAGCACTTAGGAAATAACTCCCTCATCTTACTGAACAACATTGTGTTGCGGAAAGAGAAGATTTGGTTTTGGAATGATGCATGGAAACATGTATCTCTTATGCAAAATATCGAGACCTTTCTTAGGACAGTTTACACCAGTGATTCTCAACCTTTTCAAAGCTGCCGCACCCCTAAGAAGTGAAAAATTTTTCAACGTCCCCCTTTGTGAAAATCCCGTAATTTAGGTATAAGAAATGGGCGTTTCTGAATTATAAAAGGCAAAATTTTGAAGTAATTTTTTTCAGTAGACTTGCACACCAAATTTTTTTGATTTAACTCATAGTTTTGCCTGGAAGGTGATTAAAACTGAAATGACTAATGCCAGAAAAAATTGCATAAGCAATGTTTTATGTTTAAAAAATTATTTATTCTTAATTATATAATCAGAAAAGAACAACATCAACAAAACATTTACACTAAAAGAGTAATATCAATGAAACAATCAAGTATGACCAGTGGGAT